CCTCTTCTCCGGGCCTAGGTCACCCATATTTAGCTTAGAAATAAACTGCATTAATTATTATTAATTTTTTAGAGTTCATTATTTTCCATTGACACCTTGGTGACTGTTACTGAGTGCTACTGCCACCAACACATCAGCCTGAGGATGGTGAAAAGGGAGGTTACTGTCCACAACGGCTATCTCCCAACAGTGGATACAAATCCTCCCTTTAATTCCTCAGAGCATTAAGATGAAGTGTGAGGAATAAACACAAAGGGAACCACGGAATGACTCTATCTGGCTTGTTCTGTTTGGTAAATTCTCACTTTAGACAGCTCTCCTATGCTGCTTCTATGCACCAGGAAAGTTAATTGTTTAATCTGAAATTCAAATTTAACTGGGTGCTATGTGTTTTAACTGGTAACCTTGTTTATGAGAAGTGAAGGATCATTGTGGTTCCCTAATCTCTAGAAGCACCATCAAGTACCTTGTTAGAACTCTCTAAAATAGTTCACAGCTACAAGATTAAGGTTAAACACAAAAGTTTCTGATCCTGCCTACCCAAGGTCTACTTCTTACATTCGTGTTGCTATGGTTTGAATGTATACAGGAGATGTTCAAAAACTTTGCGGAGGGGTCAGCAGATGGAGTAGCAGGTATGTCTCAGGACTCTCACGTGCTCAACCACATCTGAATCCCGGACTCTGTGGCTTGAAAGTCACATGGGGCACATGTGCATGCATGATCAAGATCCTGGGAAAATGGAAGAGAAGAGATTGCGGCATGACCATCCCCCCACGGGGTGATTTCTTACTTTCTCTCTCATTGTGTCTCTGTCTCTTCCTCTCTCTCTAGTGAGTGCATGGACCCTAAGGCAAAACCTCTAGAAATAAAGTTTGTGGAAATGCATATCATGAAAAAAACTACACAAGGGCTTCAAAATTTTTTGCACCAGAATAAACTCAAATTTTAATTCCACTATCCATGAACTTTTTGAAGTTCCCCTTCCGAAAGTCATACATTAAATTCTAAATCCCAAGGTGATGGTATGAAGAGGTGGGGCCTTGGGACCAGCAGTTAGCGTACATGTCCTATAGCAAAAATCTCTCTTAAAAAATATGTGTGGTGGATGGGGCCAGAAATTGACATAGTGGTTAAGGTGCTGGACTCCCACATTGCTGACCATGGTTTGAGTTCTTGGACTTGTGTGTACTCTAAATCCTAAGAGGACTATGGAGGAAAAGAATGTGGCATGGTGATTTCTCATTTGCTGTCTCTGTCCTTCTTAGGCAAGCACAGATAGGTGCCCTATGGCCAAAAACTTAAAAAAAGAAAAAAAAAAAAAAAAGAGGTGGGGCCTTTGGGGAAATGATTAAGTTACAATGGTTCCAGTCTGGTGAATAGGGAAAATGTCCTTATAAAAGAGGTTTCATGGGGCTGGCAAGTGGCATGGAGGTTAAGGGCGCTGGACTCCCACATGGCAGACCACGGTTCAAGTCTCAGACCTGGTGGCTTGCTTTCTCACTTCCTTTCTCTCTCTCTCTCGGTCTCTCTCTGATCAAACTGGAAAATAACAATGATAATAATAAATAAAGTTAAATAAAATATTCTTTAATAAATTAATAAATAAATAAATAAATAAAAGAGGTTTCATAAAGTTTCCTGTAGACAGTATATTTGGTTTACTCCTCTTCCCCCACAGCAGGCAGGGACACAGCAATTGTCCTCTGTAGAAGATTTAGAAACAAAGAACTGAAAAGCAAACCTTCACCAGACACCAAATCTGCTGGTGCTTTGGCCTTGGACTTCCTAGCTCTAGAACTGGGAGCAAAAAATTTCTTTTACTTATAAATTACTTAGTCTAAGATATTTTATATTAGCAGCAGGAACAGACTAATTCACCCATTTTTCTGTCCCTGGATGAGTATCAAGGAAAATGACCACCTTTTCCAAAAGGCCTATACAACCACACGGTCTATATACCACATGAAAACCTGTGCATTTATGACAGCTAGAGATTCTTTCCATAATAGGAATTAGTATGTATTAGAAGCTGCATTGGTAGAAGCTACCTATAGTTACGATAAAGATTCTTAAATGTTAATGTGATTGAGAATTACCTGAGCAATTACTTAAAATGAATATTTTGATTCAGTGGATCTACAGTGGGGCCTACAATTCTGCATTTTTAAAAAGAATTATTTATTTAATTTTACATATTATTATTATTATTAATTTGCTATAGGGCATGTGCACTCACCAGCAAGAGAGAGAGAGGAGGAAAGTAAGAAAGAAAGCCACAGGGTCTGGGACTTGAACTACAGTCAACCATGTGGGGGTCCAGTGCTTTAACCACCATGTCACCTGCTGGCCCCAATCTGCATTTTTAACAAGGGGGTTAAGGATGGGCCACCCCAAAATATGCTACTTCACTTTGGCAGTAGAATTATTTTAAGCTAAAAGGATTTAAATTTTTGAAATTCTTTATCTGCCTAAAAGCAGAATATCACCCAAAACTCAACTGTCAAAAATCTCCTTCTTGGGGAACCAGCAGTTAGCATAATGGCTATGTCGCTGGACTCCCACGTAGTCGACCGCGGTTCGTGTCCCGGACCCGGTGGCTTAAAAAAAAAACTCACGCCGGGCGCGTGTGCGTGCGTGCCCAAGATCCCGAGAGGAGAATGGAGGAGAAGGGATTGTGGCGTGACCATCCCCCCTGGGGGGTGATTTCTCGCTTTCTGTCTCTATGTCTCTCTCTGTCTGTCTGGTGAGCGCACGCGCCCTACAGCGAAAATCTCTCAAAAAAAAAAAAATCTTTTTGGGACCAGCATTTAGCTGACTGTGGTTCGAGTCCCGGACCGGGTGGCTTAAACTCATGCCGGGCATGTGTGTGTGCGTGCCCAAGATCCTGAGAGGAGAATGGAGGAGAAGGGATTTCAGTGTGGCCATCCCCCCAGGGGAGTAATTTCTTGCTTTCTGTCTCTGTCTCTTTCTGTCTTTCTGGCAAGTGCATGCTCCCTATAGCAAAAAACACTTAAAAAAAACCACAAAAAACAAAAACCAAAAACTCCTTCTTAAGAGCAACTCTAAACTTAGAGAGGGAAATTTGGTACCATAAACCAAACACATCTTGTCAGAAGAGTATCAAATCTCCCGCTTGTTCTCCTGAGGGGTCATTTGTCTTTCCAAAAAGTCACTTGCTTTTCCATAAATGCCCTTTTTTCCTCCTTCCTTTTCCCTACTAAGTTAGCCATATAGACCCCAAATTCTAATCATCCCTTTGGGTTACTGATCAAGTTCTTTTGTAGGAGCTGCACATGTTAGTAAAAATTGCATGCTTTTCTCTTGTTAATCTGTCTGTTGTCATTTTAATTCACAGTTCCCCAGATACTGAAACTAAGAGAGTAAAGAAAAAATTTGTCCTCCCCTACACTAGAGATTCCAGGTAATGCTGTGCTTTTTATCCAAGAATCATACTTTGAGTGGCTAGGACATGTGACTTGATATGGATTAGGAAAAACTACAGTACAAGGTTATCCAAAAAAGAAGAAGTCACAGTTTAAATCTTCATCGATGGTGTCCAAATTATGCCTGACTGTCTCACACACACTTGGGTCCGGAAAGAGCAGAGCTAATCTCAATGTGAAGAGCACAAAGGAGTATATTAAGCAGAAAAGTCTGAGTTCAAATCAATCTCTAAGTTCGAAGAGCTAGGATAGGAGGTCAGACATGAGGAACCAGTCACTGGAGCCACTCTCAAAGGGATATTCATTACTTCAGAGAGTAAAAGACTGATGAAAGGGTTTGGAAACATGTCAGATGCCACAGCAAGGATGTTTAGCCTAGAAAGGAAAGGGAATGTGTACACAGTTGCCAGATTTAGCAAATATGAAATACGGAATAGGTTTCAGAAAAATAACAAGTACTCTGAGTATAACTAAGTCCCATGTCATATTTGAGACATAGCTATACTAAAAAGTTATTATTTCTTATCTCTGAAATTCAAATTTAACTGGACCCCCTAAATTTTAACTGGTCACCCTGCTTATGTGAGGTGTGGGATATCTTTATCTCCTTTAAGGTTTGGCATAAGTAAGTCTTCAACTCCATATTAGAGTCAGCTGGGGGGAGGGTGGCAGGTGACCTGGTGGTTAAGGGCATTAGATTCCCACATGGCTGACTGGGTTCAAGTTTTGAACCTAGTGGCTCGCTTTCTCACTTTCTCTTTCTCTTTCTCTCTCTCTCTCTCTCTCTCTCCCTCTCTCTCTCTCTCTCTTTCTCTCTCTCTCTCTCTCTCTCTCCCTCCCTCTCTCCCTCCCTCTCTTTCTCTCTCTCTCCCTCTCCCTCTCTGGTCAAATTAAAATAAATAAATAAAGTTAAGTTAAAAAAAAAAAAAGAAGAATCAGTTGAGAAGCTTCCAAAACAGTGCTGAGGGCCAGACAGTGGTGTAGTAGTTAAGAGAATTGGATTTCACATGGCCAACTAAGTGGTTTGAGTCCCAGTCTCTGTGGCTTGAAAAACATGCCCAGCATGTGCGCATGCATGCCCAAAAGCCCGAGAGGAGAATGGAGAAGGGATTGTGGCATGACCATTATTGTCTACCTCCTCCCACAAGGAGATACTTTCTCACTTTCCTTCTTTCTTTCTCTCTCTCTCTGTTTCACTCCAGTGAGCACTTGTGCCCTATAGCAAAACTAAAAAAGCGAAAAACAAAACAAGGTGAAATTTAATTGTATTAGCATATCTTATTCAACATAATCTATCAGAAATATTCTCAGCATGTAACACACCTAAAAATTGTTGTTGTAATATTTTAGTCTTTTCCTTATGTCTCTCCAATGGGTGCACATGCCCTATAGCAAAATTAATTTAAAAAACTAAATAAAAGCAATGCTAATGGCCAGGACTCACCTCTAGAGATTTTGATGTAATTGGTCTGAGGTTCAGTCTGTGCAATGTGATGTTTCGAAACTCTGTAGGTGAGTTCAAGGTTGACAAAGCATTGGATCGGGTCGACTTAATCTAGGGCCAGGTAGTAGCACTCCAGCTATGGAGGAGCTATTTATTAAGAGACAGAAAGATTTTGGCTGTTCACGTGAACTTTCAAACAAGAAAGGTTATCGCCACAGGTAATGAACCTCCTGGCACATGGTATTGATTGCATGATCTGCTATAGGCAATTTGTTTTCAGAGGGAACTCAAGATGGTAGGGGGTGCAGAGGTGGTTGTGGGGGTGGGAGGGGCAGGATTGAGAGAGTTAGTGAATGACGTGATTAGCATGACCTTTCCAGCTCTGGAATCCCAGGACTGAAAATGAATGAGTCATAGACGGATACACAAAGATAGGCAAAAAAAAAAAAAGAGAGAGAGAAAAAAGAAGAAAGACAAAAATGAAAGCATGCAGGAAAAAAATGGCTGAACTCTGAGTAAGGGCTAAACTAGTTCATTGTATTATGCCAACACATTTCCTGATTTTGATAATATAGGATGGTATCATGTGATGTCACTCATCAGAGAAAGCTGAGTAATGGGTACACAGGACTTCACCATACTCTTATGGCAACTTCTCGTGGGTCTCTATTTCAAAATAAAAAGCTTCAAACAAATGAATTCATCACATCACATTGAAGGATTGTTTTTGCACGAGGCCTGAGCAATGACAGGTAGTAGGTCTGGCCTAACAGGGCAGGGAGGCTTCCGTCTGGTGAGGCACGGAACTGGTGTGTATTCCTCTTGCTCACCGCCTGACCGGGGACACCCTCTTCTCACAGAATCTGCTGCCATCTGGGCTGACATGGGAGCTGCAGCCCTTCTTGCCTGTATGTTTACAAACAGAAACAAGGCCAGTTGGTCGCACTGAAAATAAAGCGACCAGAGCTTTCCAAGGCAGTCTGAGTTCCTAGAAGGGGGAGTACGTCATCATTTTCCAGCTTTAATTAGCAATACAATGAACTAATAATAAAAATGAAAGCCAATACTGAGTGGAGATGAGGTAACAGCAGTGGCCTGCAGTGACTCTGTTTGTGGGTGTTGAGTGTGTGTGTATTTTTAGATAACAACTTATTCTGCATGTGGTAATTAGGGCCCCAAGGGGGTTGCGAATTTTTTTTTTTTCCTAAGGGTTGGCAAGTAGAGGGAGGAGGCCGCTAAAATTCCCACACATCTGGGCAAACAGATACTGCACTCCAATTTCCTGTCGGCGCCACTGGTTTCTTGTGGAATTACTTGCTAAGTAAATGATTGTTATAAGACTATGAAGATTCGGTCAATCAAATTAACCCCCTTTGTCCACTGCCTCCCTCCCCCCACCCCAGCAGTTCCCTTCATTTGCCTAAACTCGGAGGCTTTTGAAAATGTGCTCAAGCTTGAAGGCCCCAGCCCTGCTCACATTGGCCAAGTGTAACCTGAGTGAGAACCCAGAGGCCCCCAATTGTTTTGCTAATCAAGATTATTGCCCCATTGAGATGTGGAGGCACAGCCTGGCTGACAAAATTTGTCAGTTTCCCATGAAATAGTTCTGTCAGTTTAGCCCGGGTGCTGGCAACTATTAACATATAAATGAAGTTTCTCCCTCCTTTACTCCCCCTTCCTCTACCCTTCAGCCACCCATCCTAATGGAGGCAGAGAAAATATAAACACACACACACACACACACACACACACACACACACACACTCAGCTTCCAAACCTTCCATGTACTTAAATCAAACCAGCTTCTTTTCTCAGTGCCTGGAAATCCGGCAGGCCTGGGGGGCTCCAGGAGAAAAGGGGAAGAGAGCTGGGAGAAGGTTATTTGCACAAAACCACTTTTAAGCAGAGATCTGTGAGGCCCTGGTCCCTACTATGGCAAGAGACGTCTGGCTGGGCCTGCTACTGAGCCCATGGCTATCTGAATGCCAGGATGCACCTCTAAGCAAAGATGAACACAGGGTTTGAAAGTGATATATCGGGCAGGGGTCAGACACCCAACATCTCTTGCTAGCCTGGCTTCCTGACAGCTGGACCGGAGCTAGTGAGTGGGCGATGAGTCCAAGTAGCTACTTGCTGGCTTTTCTCAAACTGGGCTCTGAGAGGAGTCTGGGGCCTGGAATGCTAGGGTTTCACCTTAGCTTCAGCACTGCCTTCCCCATGGCCTGGTTTGGAGTCTTGGCTGAGCTAAAAGGAGGCAGGAAATAAAGCCCCTATCTTCCTGTGTCTCCTGGGATTGAGTTAGGATACAAGAAAGAATAAATAATGCATCACTTGTTATAGTATATTCTATTTCTGTTATACATATAGCAATACAAGGGATCTTCAAAACATTCATGGAACATGGGTGTCATGAAAAAATTATGCATGGATTTCAAATTTTTTCTTTTGCACCAAAATAAACTTGTATTTTAATTTTATTTTTCCCTCAACTTGTATTTGTATATATCACCTAAAGCACTCTGGTAAAAATAAGTTCATAAAGCCAAAATGAAAAGATCGTTTCGGTCATGTGTGTTGTGAAAAATAAGCCCAACCATCTAATATCAAAGAATGGACACAGAGACACGAGGTATGACAAAACAGGCCTGTAATGGCGGTCTTGTTTGATCAGGTATCTGATGGGCAGGTGTAACTGAAATGCTTACAATTTATTCCCTAGTGTGCAAATCCCTCCCCCGGTTCCTCATTGGCTGAATAGTTTGGGGTGTATAATCTTCCCCAACATCACCTAAGTTTTATTATTCTCTTATTAGGTATTTATTGTCCCCTTCCCTTTCTTGGCTGACGGAAAGGTGCAAGCTCAGGACAAGCCCATGATAAAGATCCGCCCACCAAATGTCCTGAGGAGGGAGAAGAACCAGGAAGTAGAAAGGAGTAAAGGGTCAGTAACCAGCCACCATCTTGTTCTCTAAGGTGACCTGTTGTGTTTGGGATTCATTTGTTCAGGGACTTTCTGGGAATGTGTACTTTCTAGGATTGTCACATTTGCAAGCTAGTTAAGCAACTTTTGTTGTGCTATATTTTAAAAGTAATCACTTAGACTATTTTCTTACATAGGTCAATTTGGCCTTGTGAAGTTATCTTTACCAGAGCCCTTGAGATGATATACACTGGGACGTCAGAAAAGCCATAATGTGTTCTTCTATGCAAAAATGCATCATATACACAATTATTATATGCATGGATATATATGCGCACATGTTTACACACATTATATAATTGTAAGCACTCTGATAAAGGTAACATATATATGTAAAATTGGACTATATATCCATACACACAACATACCACTTATCATATGAATCTACAAGGCAGCAATATCAGCCATTTGGTACTAAACTAGTCCTCTGGAAGGAAAGTTCTGCCAGGAGCCTGGTGTGGTTAGAGTAGCACACAGGATGACTCTTTCTGATCAAGGGTCCAACCAGCTTTGCAAGTGAGTATCTTCTTGGAGAGATTCTTCCACTGAGATTTAAGCTGTTTATGCTTTTGTGGCTCACACAGACTCTGCTGTGAGTGAGCCTCCCTGCCCTCACTTCCAAACTGCATCCATTTTTTAATCTCATCTCCTGCTGCCTGATAGGAATAGACACCTGGTGGGTAAATTGTCCCCTCAGGAAGAACCCAGAGGCCCAGTGAGGTTGCTATGGCCTGTGTCTTCTATCAGGACCTGGAGCATCTTCCCTCCCAGTAAAGCTGCTTTGATGGAGTGAGTACAAGGAGCTTCTTACTCAAAACTGCCTGGGCTGAAGTGTTTTCCCAGAAACCTGAGTATCTAGCTGTTAGCCCAACTCTGAGACTTATTTTTGGAATCAGAAATAATTCTAATGTATTTGATGAGACTTTGAGACTTGCAGCCTGAGAATATAGACAAGTAATGTACCTCTGAGTTCACCATTCAATCTGCAGAAATTAGCCTTTCAGTATAAATTTAATCATGAAGGGCTCTGGAATTAGATTCTAAGCTGGGTGACTTTGAGTGCTTGTTTAACCAGTTCGTGCCTTAGTTTCTTCCTCTGTAGGATAAGAATAATGAGACTAGCTATTTATTCACAGATCATGAAGAATATACAAGATTATGTTTATAAACTGCTGAGAGAGGGTCTGGCATATAGTAAATGTTGTGTTTTGTCAAATAACACAACATCTAGGAAGAATTCAGTAATACCCTTTATACTCTTTGGTTTTGTTCTTAGTTCTTATTTATAAACAAAGCAGTTTTCACTTCTTGGTAGTAATCTAAGCTTCCTTTTTAATTCATTTATGTAAAATATGAACTCAATTTAAGGAAAGATACTAAATAAGTTACAGTGTGGGAAACATGAATGTGGTAAAAAAAACAAAGATGGTAGATAAATGACTAGAGTTTGAAAATCACTGTTATACAGATGATTCAATTTTTATTTTTTTTATTTTTAAAATTTTGCTAGAGGGCACATGTGCTCACCAAAGAGGGAGAAAAAAAAAGAAATTAAAAAGCTCCCCTGTAGGGAGGATGATCACACTGCATTCTCTTCTCCATTCTGCTCTCAAGATTTTGGGCACATGTACACGTGTGCCAGAGTGTTTTTTAAGCTTCTGGGTCCAGGATTCAAACCACTCAGTTGGCTACCCTGTGAAATCCAGCTGCCTTAACCACCACACCACCTGACTGACCCCAGGTGATTAGATTTGAAGAGAATTCTCAGATGTCTATTCCCAAAAAAAGTGACCAAAGAATGCAATGAGATTCTTTAACTTTCTGTTCACATGGTTTCCATAATTTCGGATTTTTTGTGTGAGACTGGAAGTGAGTTTATGAGTTTTATGATGGACTGACTCTTTTTTTTTTTGGAGAGACAGAGAAACAGAGAGACAGAAAGTGAGAAATCACCCCCTGGGGGGATGGCCACACTACAATCCCTTCTCCTCCATTCTCTTCTCAGGAGCTTGGGCATGCATGTACATGCACCTGGCATGAGTTTACGCCACTGGGTCTGGGACTTGAACCGCGGTCAACTACATGGGAGTCTAGCAACATAGCCATTATGCCAACTGCTGGTCCCATGGACTGACTTTTGTCCTCCCTAAATACAATATGTTGAAACCCTGATCCCCAGTGGGCCTGCACTTGGAGATAGAGCCTTTAAGACAGTAACTGAAGTTAAATAATGCCATTAGAGTGGAGCCCTAATCCCATAGAACCAGTATCCTTATAAGAAAAGGAAGAACAATAATGGGAATATGTGCACAGAGGGAAAGTTCATCCTTTGGTAACCATTTGCAAGCCAAGGAGAGAGGCTTCAGAGGAAATCAGCCCTACAGACACTTTGGTCTTGGACTTGTGCCCTTCAAAACCACTGTGAGAAAATAATTTCCTGTAGTTTAAGTCACCTGGTCTGTTGTATTTGGTTATGGCAATCCTAGCTGAATAATAACAGGTTTGTTATGGGTGTAGAGATTTTTTTCAGAGTGTTTTCTTTATATTAGTCGGGGGAAAAAAGCACAGAGAAACGAGTATGTATCAGAGATAACCACATAATTGCCAACCGTTTTGCAATGCTTGTGTCTAGATGTTTGTGCAGTCCCCAAAATTCATATGTTGAAACCCTAATCCTAATCCGATGGTACTGGGAGGTGGAGCCTTTGGGGGAATCTCATGTATGGGATTAGTGCCATGCTAAGAAGAAGCCAGAAATCTCACTTACTCCCTTTCTGCCACGTGAAGCTATAAGAATTTGGAAGCAAGCCCTCAGCAGAACACAACCATACTGGCATTCTGCTCTGACTTCCAGCCTCCAAAACTATGAGAAATAAACGTCTGTTGTTTATAAGCTATTGGCCTATGGTATTTTGTTATAATAGTCTAAACTCATTAATATATTTCTTTAAACGTAATAACACCACAAAGAATGGCTGACATGTACCAGTGCTAACCGAATTGGACAGCAGCAGTACCACACATTGCATGCATGATACCACCTTACCATGGAAAGTTGAGGTACAGTAAGTGAAACGAAAAGAGTTTGTTTGAGCTGACGGCTCAGGACAAGTGCCTAGGCCCCACAAAATCCAAGTTGCTCCAAATACTGTCTACCAAGGCCTAATTGATGTCAGGAATTTTTTTGTTTATTTGTTTATTATTTTATTTATTTTTTAAGGTTTTTGTCATAGGACCTGTGTACTCGCTGGAGAGAGAGACAGAGGCAGTGAGAGGGAAAGTGAGAAATAACCCCTGGGGAGGATGGCTACGCACAATTGCTTCTCCTCCATTCTCCTCTCAGGATTTTGGGCACACATGCACAGGTGTCTGGTGTGTTTCAAGTTGCCAGGTCTAGGACTTGAACCGGGATTGGTCATGCGGGAGTCCAGCACCTTAACTACTACACCACCTGCTGGCCCCAATCTCAGGATAGTTTTTTTAAATTAATGACTTATTTAATTTTATTATTATCTTTTAAACTTGATCAGAGAGAGACAGAGAGTGAGACAAAGCGAAAGTGAGAAAACAAGCCACCAGGTCCAGGACTCAAACCATAACCGGTCATGTAGAAGTCCAGCACCTTAACCACCACGCCATCTGCTGGCCCCAGTGTCAGGATAATTTTAAAGGTACAGGTTGCATAGAGAAGGAGGGAGCAGTAAGGAGTCTTGCACAAGAGTGTTTAGCTAAATTCTACCAAAAGGACAGCACAGGACGACCTCGTGATCACCTGGAGGAAGCACATAGGCAAAGCATTAGAGACAGAGAATCTGGAAGATGAAAGAGGGACTGTATTTGGGAAGTCAGGATGTTCATAAAACAAAAAAGTCCAGTGAATCTAGGTAGCATTTTGAGCTATTTTCAAATAGCACATTCCTAAGAACATCACAAGATGTATGTAAGTTTTATTTCCTTAATGTGCGGACTCAGGTGGACTGGAATCTCCAGTTTTTAGGAAACACTGGTCTATTCTGGGGTTAATCAGCTACCTTAAAGTTTCAGTTAGATGATAGACATTTTAGCACAAGTGACTCCATTTTGTTCAGGTCTGTTTGTTCCTAGAGCAGGGCCTTAGTACAAAACAATGGCCTCTCATAATTTTTATGTAACAATTTGATCCTCATGGCACATCTAAGGAGCAAATTCTAGAAATATGAAAAGCACAGCTTGGTCCCTAGACCCTCACTATCTCATCATTTTAAGGAAGGAAGTACAGAGTTGTTTTCTGAACTTGGATCTTTCTGCCCTGGAAACCAATGCTCTACAATCCCCATGGCATTCTGCTGGCAAAGTTTTCTCAACCTCAGAGGCTTTATGAGAGATGCTTAGAAGGAGCCAGGAGAGCAGCCTAACCCCTAGGGAGGACGCTCAAACCTGCTAGAGGGCTGATGGGTTCTGGGAGGCGGCCTCAGCCCTCCTGAGAGCCACACTTTCACAACCTGGATCATTTCCTAAAATGGTTTCATTTTACAAACTAGCATGAGGCTCCCCTGGAAGCAGCCAACTTTGGCAGAGATTAAATAATTAGCATTTCAAAGTGTTCATTTTCATTTCCCCCTTTGCCAGGGTGAGAACCACTGCAGGACAAAAAATGAGCTGCTGCTTCTTCTTTTTTTTTTTTTCTAATCTCAGCCCAGGAGGGGTCTTCGCAGAGAAAGTATCACCAGCCCATCAGCACCACAGCTGGCCAATTTTGAAGGCTGATCCCATCCAGGCCAGTGCAAGTCAGCCACCAACTACTGAGGGATGGCTTATCCACTCCATGACTCAGCCCTTCCCAGCATGCCCAGTGGGTCGACACTGGGACTTTCCTTACGGGAATTAATGAGAGCATGTTGCTGGTAAATCCGGCACTTGCAGATTAAGTTTAAATGGTAAAAAATCTCTTTTATTCTTACAGAGTTTAAGAACAGGGCCAAGATGACCACTCACAAAAGGAAGGAGGAGACTTTACTTGGTTTATCAGAGAAGCCTAGAGCTGCATTCTTGGGTATGATGGTCACTTATGGCTATTGAGTCCTTACAATGCAATGTGGCAGGAAGACTTCGAAATGTGTTCTCCGTGTAAGCTACACACCAAGTTTCACAGACCAAGTACCAAAAAGGAAAACCAGGTATCTCATGAATATTTTTATATTGATTACATGTTGGAATGACAGTGTTTTGGATATATTCTTTTAAATAAAGCATGATATTAAAGTTAGTTTCACCTGCTTATTCTCTTTTGTGAATTCCTTTTGTGAATGTGGCTATTCTAAAGGCCTTTCCTATTTCTCTAAATCTTTCTTCCATGACTGTGTTTTATTCCTGGCTCTTGTCACTGTCTAAAATTCTGTTATTTATATATTTGTTTGCTCATAAGATTCTGTCTCTCCTTCCAGAATGGAAGGTCCCTGAAGGCAAGGACTCTGGCAACCTATGTAGTTTTCTTTTTTTAAAATAATTATTTATTTTATTTTATTTGTTATTATTATTTTTTAATTTTACCAGAGAGAGAGCGAGAGAGAGAGAAAGGGAAAATGAGAAAGTAAGCTGCCAGGTCCAGGACTTGAATAGTGGTCGGCCATATGGGAGTCCAGCTCCTTAACTACCACACCATCTGCTGGCCCCCACTATGAGTTTTATTTTCAGTATTCAGTGGCAGGTGGAAGAAAAGTGTTCAATAAATAGTTTTAGAGTACATGAAGAAGGCAAGGGAGCTCAGGTAGAAGTCCTTCTCCATTACTTCTCTGATTATCAGGTAGAACTAACCACTTTGTTGCTTGTACTTGAGGCTACTGTGTATATACAGTCTTGTGATATTATGATTTTTAGGCAGGATCTTGCCTTGTCACATACCTGAGACTATAAACATGTGTTAGCAGGCTCAATTTATTCACACAGGGTCTCCCTATGTTGCCCAGGTTAACCCCAAGCTCACTATCCTCAGCCTCCCAATCACCGAGCTTCATGATTATAAGAACCGTATCATATTTACTTCTTAATCTTCAGGCCAGATAGATAGGAGGTGCTCCATAAATGTTCAATGAATAAATCAACCATTGAAACTTTTACTTTTGTAGCATACAGTGAGCTAACTGTCTCAAACAAGGGATCATTCTGGACTCAGTCCAGTCTTTGTTTCTTCTCTGTCTTGTCCCTTAATTACCCTCCTTTTTATGACAAGAAGACATCTGAATTTCACCAGTCAGATATGGGTTTGGCAGGCCAGCCAGATAGGCTAGCAGGTAAGACAAATTAGTGTTGAGTCAAACCATAGCCTAGTGGTTAAGGGAGTTGGACTCAACATGGCAGACCACAATTCAAATTCCAGCCCTGGTAGTGAAGCAGGCAAGATTCCATCTTGGAGGAGCATCTCCATTATAAACTGCTAAATTCCTATGACTAATAACTCAGGGCTGACAGCTGTCTAAGGTTTCTGCCCTCCAGCAAATTTACTGGCCCTCCCTGGAGCTACAGGGTAACCTGAAAACCTTGAATGGGTTAGTACCTTGAATAAATTAGTACCTCGAATGGATTAGTACCTTGAATGATTGGTACCTTGAATAGATTAGATTTTCTGCTTCTCTGACTTCTCCCTTTGATGCTGTCTACGGTGGGATCTGAGCCCAACCCCCACCCTGAGACCTCCCTGTTCCCCAATTCCCTCATAAAAGACCATGTCCAACCCCCAGTTGGGGCTGGAGATTTTGAGCGTTAACTCCTCCATGCCCGCTGGCATAATAAACAGTTCTCCTAATCTCTCCAAGTGCTGCTTTCCATTCCTTGGAGTCTGGTTTTCTGCAACAGTGGATAGGAAAGAATGGCCGGCATACACACACACACACACACAACATATATATATATATATATATATATATATATATGCATGCTTGAAATCCTGACAGGATGGAGAAATAGAGAAGGAACTGCATTGTGGCATACCCCATTGGAGGTTTTCTCTCTCTTTCTCTCTCTCTCTCTCTCTCTCTCTTTGGCAAGCACATACACCTTCTGGCAATTAAAAAAATAATGTCTATATAGTGCTTTATATTTTCTAGGTGCTTTCATGTACTTCATTTCATTTGACCCTCATGACTACTTTGTAATGTGAAATTAGTAGACATTAGTATCTAATTTTATAAGAGAAGAGACACGATCAGAGAGGTTACTCATAGTGGCAGAGCTAGAATTCAAGCCCAGCTCTTTGATTCCTCCTTCAGGGCTTTTTCTGGGTCCTTCTGACTAGAATATAAGAGACCACTCTATGGCCAACGTAAGAAATTCAGGTTTCTTCACTTTGCCACAGCTCTACCAAAAAGACTTCAATGACTCTGACAGTTTCAGGATAAAATCCAAACCATTCATCCTATCATGGAAAGCTCTGTGTTAACTTGTCTTTCCATTTTATCTTCTGAGAATGACCTTTCTACAGGTGCCCATGTACCTAGACAGGTAAACATTTAGCTGTCAACTTCCTTGGGTATGTCTTGTACTCTCTACCAACCGTCATTTTCACTCCATTTACCCTAGCTGAGCTACCTTCCTGACAACTTGCTCACATTCTTTCCTTCCAGTTTATTTCCTGCCTTATCCATTAGTTCTTTCAGGTCACATCATTGCTTTCCTTCTGCCATTTTCCCTCTTTTCCAGTGTACAGGAGATTTTCCCATGGTTATGTGAGTTTAGGCCAAGATTCCTCATTGACACTTTATTTTTTTTTAAGAATTATTTATTTAAGTTTATTTTATTTATTTATTTATTTATCCCTTTTTAATTTGTCCAGAGAGGAAAAGAGTGAGAGAGACAGAGAGAGAGAAAGTGAGAAAGCAAGCCACCAGGTCCTAGACTGGAACCATTTTCAGCCATGTGGGGGTCCAATGCTCTTAACCACCATGCCACCTGCAGATCCCCCTCATTGACATTTTTATAGTCCATTTCTGAATCATCTGTCTAGTGCTCCATTCAGAGTTTTAATTTATCTATAGTGGGCATTTGTGGTGTTACATACTAGTTAACACTACACCTTTTCATATCCCTAAGGCAAAGCTTACTACCAGACCCCAGTTCCTATGATAGTTTAATAATTCAAGGATGTGCATTTCATGCAATTGTACCCATTCAAAATGTTTAAACAGAAAGAGGTTCTCTAATGACTGCCTCACAAAATGTAACAATGAAGAGCTGAAGACAGTAAGAAATAGTCACTGGATGGTTCTGTAGCCTAGTGGTTAAGGGGGCTGGATCCCGTGTGGCTGATCCTGGTTTGAATCTCAGTCTTGGTGGCTTTAAAAACACACTGCATGTGTGTACATGGTACTCAAAATCGCAACAAGACACAGAAATCGAGAAGGGATTGTGGAGTTTTCATGCCTTATTGGGGGTGCTTTCTCCCTCTCTTCTTTCTGTTTCTCTGACAAGTGCATGTACCCTCAGGTAATTAATAAAAAAAAAGAAAGAAAGAAAAGAAAGAAAGTCAAACAAATGTATGATGGATATACCAGAGCCTTTCTGGTTTGTTTCAAATCTGTGGCTCCAGTGGTTTTTGAAACACAGCTGCAGAGCTGCCCTTCCATGTGGACTAGATAAGACATAGGCTCAGCTATCATAACATACCAATCACAGAGCTCTGACCAGCTGATATATTCACTTTGAAATAAGTTTCCTTCCTGATCCAATTGACTGTGGTGGGATCATATGGTATATGGTCTGTGTTTATCCTAAAGAAGAATAAAATGGCAAAAAATAGACTGATTTATACCTTAGTATGTGTCTGCTTTCTAGAGCTGGTATGTACAATGAATCTTAATTTTTAAGCTGAAGCATCTCTACATTATTGAGAGAAGAAAAGGGCATTGTTTCTTAGAGAACTGATAACTCTTTGAAAGGCAAGGTGAGTTGATTGTCTCTACTACTAGCAGGGCTGAGAACTTTTTAGAATCAAAAGCAAAGTCATGTAGAAGTGCACAGGCTCACAGAATGGAGTCTGTGTACCCTCTCCCTATGAACAAGTCAAGTTTGAAGTTAGAATAATCCACAATGACTCTAAGTATGAAATGGAGAGTCAGACTGGTTGATGGTCCATATATACCTTAAATCTTTAAACACTCAGATTCTGTAAGATTCCTTAACAGCAAGATTCTTATTCCAGTACATCTCCTGCACAGCAGACATATGTACCATAGGCTTGGTTGGCTCGTTTTCAGAAAGTGTCTTACTATGTTGCCCAGATCAATGTCAAGATTGTCATCTTCCTGCCCCAACCTCCCAAGTCCCTGGGATCACCAGTGCACAGCATCATTCTCAGCCTCTAGCTTGGACTGGGAATTGAACCTGGGCCTCCCATGTGGTCCTAGCTATGGAGCACAGTATCTTACAGTGCATGCCATTGTGGTTAGGCCATCTTCCATCCCTCTATAAATGGCACACCATTCGCCCAGTTACATAAACCGAAATGCTTGGAGCCAAACTTGATGCCTTCTGCTGATTCTACCTTATTTTTTTTAAAGGGGTTTGTTTATTTATTTATTTATTTATTTATTTATTTATTTATTATTTTATTTGCTATAGGGCACGTATTTTCACCAGAGAGAGACAGAGAGAGAAAGAGAGAAAGTGAAAAAGCAAGTTGCCAGGTCTGGGACTCAAACCAGCATTGGCTATGTGAGAGTCCAGTGTCCCAATCACCTTGCCACCTGCTGGTCCTGATTCTACCTTCTAAATGTCTCAGATCTGTTCACTTCTCCTCATTCTGGTCTATGTTGTCATTATCTCTTGCATATTGCATTGTTCTCCTGTGGTTTTCTTACAGTCATTCTGGAGCCTTTGCCCATCTGTACTTAAATCTACTATCAGAATAATCTCCAACCACTACTCCAACTATATTGAAGTATAAATGACATACAGTAAACTACAAGTATACAAAATATACATCCACG